TTAAAATAAAATACACCACAAATAAGAGCACATAATCACGGTATACACTTTTACTACTTGTAGGTATGTTCAAGCGAAAATTTTGGAATGGTAACCCCGGAGTACGGAATTAACGAAAATATGGGGGTAGAGGGGGTTTTAATAGTTGCCTATGTAGTGTTTCAAAGCGAGGAACCTTATAGTTTTTAAGTCATTTGTTAAAGTTTGTAAATTTAACAAACTTGTATGGTAACATTTAACAATATAAAATGCACTTTTCACTAAATTTACACTCAATATATTTGCAATTAGAGTATGCACGATCAAACAAATAAATACTTTTAGTATATTAGAATTTTTTTATTAAAAATTTGCAGAGAGAATCTTTCTGTGTAGGCGGCCTTCGGCCGCACTTAGGGATTATAACCCTCACTACGTAGGCTTTCTCCTTTCTGTGTTGCCAAAGAAGAGGGGCTGAACACCTTTTGCAGAAAACACTCACTCTCAGGGATTGAACACCTTTTGCAGAGAACACCTTTCTGGGTAGGCGGCCTTCGGCCGCTCTTAGGGATTATAACCCTTACTACACAGAACTCTCATTTCTGTGTTGCCGGAAAAGAGGGGAATATGACCCCAATCCCCCTACTACTTATTTAAATCTGAACAAAAGAACTTTATCGTATTTTCCTTTTAATCGTAATTTCTTTTGATCTAACATTCCACGCTTGGTTTTTAGATGTGGCAACACAGTCCTGCTGTCATTTGCAAATATTCTGCATGTACATACTCTCATAATTATTTAACAACAATCAATTTTTCATAAAAAAAGCTGTAATATACTAAAAGTATTTATTTACTTGATCGTGCACACTCTAATTGCAAATATATTGAGTGTAAATAACGTGTAAATTTAGTGCAAGGTGCATTATATATTTTGAAATAGTGCCATACAAGTTTGTTAAATTTACAAACTTAAACAAATTCCTTAAAAACTATAAGGCTCCACGCTTTGAAACTTTAGACAGACATCTAGATCCCCCTCTACATCCCATATTTTCCTTAATTCCGTAGGTACTTCAGGGTTACCAATCTACAGCCCACCCATGTTGAATGCATGTAATAAAAGTGCTCTATTTTTAAAGAGTTTTTTTTTTGTAAAAATCGGTGTCTGTGGCGCTCTTTTATAAAAATCAATACTTCGATAAATAATGAAAATTTGTAATAAAAGATTTCAAAAATTTTCACCTACGGCTCTTTTTTAAATAAAAATCTATACTTCGATAAATCATTAAAAAAAACCGTATTATTTGCGGTTTTATTGTTTTCCGTCTCGAGTGTTTTTTTGGACATTTTTTGTTATGTGTGGCAGCACCGACATTTCAGTTCAATTGTCTACAAAGCAAAAAGAAAGGTTGAATTTGACATTTTTTGCAATTTTAAATGCAAATTACTTAAAAACTTTAAGCCTCCGGAGGGGTGTTTTCGGATTTGGAATCGGTTCCGTATTGGAAAATTTTCCTCTTTTGAGTGATGCACAAATAGTTTAGTTTATTTAATATGTAAATAAATAATAATATTAATTATATTTTCGACCTCACTGGTATAAAACATTTCTAAATTTACTGCACTATATATTGTATAAGAAAATCACATATATTGGGGCGTATTCTTGTTTTCGTACGTATCGAAAATTTGAAATTTTTGTATAGAAATTGATAGGAAATTTCATGATTTTCGATTCGTACGAAAACAAGAATCCGCCCCATTATTCTGAAATTCTCTTGACAGCTTCTAATATTCTTCATTTTCTCTCTTGCAGGGAGAATTTCCATACCCTTCTAGTTCTGCTTGGACGAATGCTGAATTGGGAATTCCGGCTTTGAAGGAATATTAGTCTTATATAAAAAAATTTGGAAATCATTTTTTTTTTGTTATCATTATTAGGGTGGTGAGCATGCACCTGAAATAAAGTTGACTATATCAATTAAAACTAACTGCTGTACCATCTACAGGGTAGGAAAAAACTCGGAGTTCGAGCGAGCAAACTCCTACCCAATGCCTCGCAGGTAACGAGGCGAGGCACGAGAAGTTAAGCTTGCTCGTCAAACGAGCGAGCGCCGCTTATTTGCTCGCGCTCCTATTAAACGAGCGAGGCTGCTGTGTGTTGCCTCGCTCGCAGTGCCGAGGCGAGTAACTGTCTGCATACTCGCTCGGCTAGGTAGGACGAGTGAGCGACGAGTGAGCGCTCCGATTGTACTACACAACACATGCCTTTTTGTTCATAAAAATATGTCAATAGATTATGTACGAAAATATGTTATTATTACATACACATAATAATTTTCATATAAATATATATGACTATTATATTAGGGCAGCATTTAAATTAACAATTAAAATTTATTTACATACATAAGCATAGATTATTTAATACAATATTTTTTAGAGTTATATATGTACATAAATATGTACATACATAACTTGCATGAATTTTGTCTTTACAGAGAAAATAAGTAAAGANCAAGCCCAGCGCACAACCCATTGCTGGGACGGGGGTGGTTTCGCAACCAAATACACGTTTATATAGCGAGCCGCTTGCTCCAAGCAGACACCCGCTTGCAGCCGCACCTACTGGTGAACAGACGCTGCAGACTTCAGTGAGCCCTTAAACCGAATAAGTCAGAGTGGCCCCACCGAAGCTCCCTCTCTTTCTGCCGTGACCCAAGGCTCCACTCGGATTGGTTACCGCATCTCGCACATGGGTTGCTCACGTTACCCAGAGTGCGCGAACGAGGACGCAAGAGTCGGGATTGAGTATAGCCATGCAACTGTAACTGCATACCCAGCGCAATGACTATACCCCATTGCACTCCATTTTGAATTACATACATAAGTATAATAAAGTGCAAGTTCGAGGTTGCTAAAGAGACTACATTCATGAAACATTAAAGAAAAATATTCCAAAAGGAAAACATGGGGGCTGTCCCGGATCTTGTGCATATGCTCTTGAATTGGGATATTCGTTGCATTTTTGCAACGGAAAGGTAGTGTCTCAGAGGTGGTCCCATACTAATTTGGTTTAGATCCGATCATTAGATCATGAAATATATAGATATATATATATTTTTTTTAAGTCGGGTTTTTTTTGCTAAAAATTACTTGTTATAATTAAATTTGCATAGATGAAAAACTTGCCTATATATATTGGTTAAATTATTTATTTTCACTTTAATTTCATTTGCGGGAAATACAAAGCCTCTTGTGGCCATTTCCACTGCCATGTCTGCATATACATGGGANTAGGATTCGAACCGACGATCCCACTGACTCAGCCAGTTGCCTCCGCACTGTGCTAAGTTCGCCTTGTAAATTATCGTTGCTTTCTCCCANAATACTTTATGAGAAGTATGTTTACAAACCTCTTTTCTTTGCCGGCGTCCATTTCGTTTACTTTTTACTTTGACGTTTCGCCTTTACTTCGTAGTAATAACTATCGATAACACAGAAAACACAGAGTTGTATGGATAAAACTATCCNTTCACACACTTGATCATGTAGTTGTTGGTTTTTGTTAATAATTGTATTTTTTAGAATGTTTAACTTTCAGGTGTGCTCGTCCTTAAGGTAAGCTCAATAAAAATTGTTGAATATAATTGTTATAAGGCCATAAAACAACAAAAACAAATAAGTTAAGGACGGGCACATCTAAAAGTTAAACATTCTAAAAAATAGAATTATTAACGAAAACCAACAACCACATGATCAAGTGTGTGAATTGCAGCGGAATAGATGCGGTTGATTGTGTTGGCTTAGGAAATGAAAAAGTGGTAAAAAGCNTACGGATTGAGAGTTAATCTCGAAAAAGTAGATAATCTTGTTATATTTGACCCTAGCATAAGAGGGTTGTTACAATATTGTTATACTTTCATTATATTAAGAGTATTCAGACTATTCTCGTTAATGTGTTAATTCGTTATCTGGTAACTCGGTGACACTTTCAACCTCGAACNTCCTACTGAAAGAAGTCTGATGAGAAAATGTGGTGATTTCCGAAATAGCTATCACTACTACCATTTTTTCAAATTATTGTTGCTGTTCCACAATAAATTTTTCATTAAAAACGGCCTCAAGTTCAATAAAAATTGTTGAATATAAATGAAATTTTATGAAATTGTATATTTTTGAAATAGGAAAAGTGTGTAAAAAACAAAAGCAATATGAATAAATGATATTAACTTAACTGNAAAATTCCAGCAAATAAGTGACAGAAAGGAATCAGCTGACATTTTAACTCGTGTCTTACCACATTATCAGAGTCGTCACCTCGTTAAGGTGGTAATGATATATTCGGTAATTTACAANGAGCCCTCTACCAATGGGGTGCTGTATGTTTCCAATGGGATGCCTGTAAAAAATAACTGCAACTAACTTTTCAGTGGACTTTATTCCGACTATGACTACGTGCCAATTACTTAATTCCTATTTTAAGCTAGTTTAAAAGGTTAAATAACATCAAGTTAGGGAATTTCATATCCTTATTTAACGAATCTTTAAATCAATGAATATTTTTTTCTTTTTAGTTTTTATTGTAATAAAAGCGTGTTGTTGTTTTTTAGACGATCTAGAGTCCAAACGGANAGCAAATAAGTGACAGAAAGGAATCAGCTGACATTTTAACTCGTGTCTTACCACATTATCAGAGTCGTCACCTCGTTAAGGTGGTAATGATATATTCGGTAATTTACAAAAACAAAACAATGGTGGCATTTACCGAATACTAATTAAGACTTTAACGAGTAAAGTCTGAATACCCTTATTGTGATCTTACATTTNTGACATTATAGACAATGTTTTTATGTAAAAATAAAAATTTAAAAAAATGCCATAATCAACAAAAAAAATCAAAAGGAAAAATGTTTACTTAATTTTTTTTATATTTTATACGTTGCACATTAATGTTAAAAATGTACAATCAAAGCCCATAATAAGACGGAAGAAATACATGTTTTGTCATTATNATTAAAAAATGTCTATTGTAAGATTACATTTTTATGAAAAACGTGAATTTTGTGTTATTTTGTGAATCTATCAAGCAAAATTTTAAATTTCCGAATATATAAAGGTCTATTCAAAAAAAAAACAAGGTTTGTATAGCTATACAGAACCCAATGCCTGCCAGCGCATCCGCGCAGACAGTTCATTAAANCTTCAACTTTCATCCAAATCCTGAGAGCTCGAGCACAGAGGTGGCCGCGGTGGCATGAAATGCCTCTATTGTAAAATGAAAAATTGGTTCCTTGTATAAAATGAGTCCACTTTCTTTATAAAAAATATGTTGTTGGTTAAATATTCGGAGCGCCCTACATTGGTTCTCCATGTTTGTTGTTTAACATAAGAGTCAGCTCTAATATTAACATTATGTAGCATTAAACGAAAAATCCAAAAATACTCAAAAAATACTTGTGAAGGAACATCTTTTTTGTGGAAGTTTAACAGCGTGGTACTGCTGATTTATTTGAGTGCTTTTTTTATGTATACAGCTCTCNTTCAGCATTTAACAGTTCATTATCATTTACAGTGTAATATAACAAGTTATACACTGAACTATGATAATCTGTATTAGTATCTATAATAATAAACAATAATTTGCAATGTTTTTACACTTTTGCAATTAATTTCGGTCACTATTGCACAGTCATGACTTGTGCCACTCTGCCATAGTACAGTTGTTGCTTCCTTTCATACCGCAGTAATTTTGTATAAAACTCTGAATTAACAAAATCCATGCTCCTTCTCGNATGTTGTTGGTTAAATATTCGGAGCGCCCTACATTGGTTCTCCATGTTTGTTGTTTAACATAAGAGTCAGCTCTAATATTAACATTATGTAGCATTAAACGAAAAATCCAAAAATACTCAAAAAATACTTGTGAAGGAACATCTTTTTTGTGGAAGTTTAACAGCGTGGTACTGCTGATTTATTTGAGTGCTTTTTTTATGTATACAGCTCTCAATCAGCCCTATCATAGAATCCATCGTAGGCTGTATTTTCGGAGATGTTCCGAAATAGCTATGACGCAATTCGAATTGCTACGACGTAAGTTCGAAATTCGTAGGGTTGCACTCACAGAATCCACTCGAAACGTCAAATCGTAGAGTTTCGTACACTTTTTCTACGACGAGTTGTTGCTGTCGGAGAAGAAGCGAAAGGCGCGCAAAATTCTATTATTAAAAGGAAAAAATTTTTTAAATTACTGAAAACTGTTAAACTTTAAATTAATAAAAATAAAAATTGACTTAAATTGTGTGGAAATATGTTTTTATAAGGTCCAAAGTGGTAACAACCAGGCAGCAATACGCAGCTTTGCTTGAGCAAATGCAGCAGAGACCTGAAATTGCGCAAGGATTTTCAAAGATTTCGAAGGAAGAAGTTATGGAATTTTGGGAGAATGTGGCTAAGGAGCTAAATAGTCTCGGTCCGCCAACTAAAGATGTATCGAGTTGGAAAAAAGTTAAAAAAAAAATGCATGCATTGTTTGCCAACTAAATATACTTTTCTGCAGGTATGGTTAGACTGGAAGGCATATATTAAAAGAAAACTTGCGGACAACAAAAGAGAACAGTTGGCAACTGGTGGTGTCGAAACAGGCAACATAGTTTTAATGAAATGGAAGAAGAGGTAATCCGGCTCACTGCTTTAGAGACGAGCACGCATGGCATAAAAAACACGGTGAGCGTTGGATTACCTGAGCCAGTGGGCGGAGAAAATGCTGAAGCTGTTGCTGACGTGTCAATGGCCTCTGCTCCCTCTCCCTCATCGGCATGCTCCTGCGGCACAGAAACGTCCCGACACCTCTGCAGCAGATTTGCTAAAAGAGCAGTTGGTCCTGCAGAAAGACCTTTACGAAAAGAGCCTCCAACATTTCACCCAGCAGGACACAAAGCTGGATGAGCTTTGCTCTGGTGTTCGACGGTTGGGTAGAGCCACTGA